ATATATATATATATATATATATATATATATATATATATATATATATATATATATATATATATGAATGAAGAAAAGACAATTATAGTGAAGAGGAATCATTGAAATAGTTAATTGGATACAAATCTTGTATTTAGTATTATAAGAAAATGTATGTATATGTAAACAATTGACAACGGCTATATACGTGGCTTTCTACTCCATTATAATACATATTCCACATCAACACTAAATTATATTTGTTGCAAAGGGTCTTTGTCTAGTGGTATCGTAACTCTTGGCCTTCTAGAAGGTCAGGGGTTTAAACCTCACCATAAGTAAGAAGGGTGTGTGAGTTTATTTGTTGCATTTGTCGTATATAAATATTATATATTAAAAAAAACTAAATTATATTCTATTTTTTATTTATCCTCTTCTAGAAAAATATAAATATTTAATTCACTTAAAATAGCATAACAATTGAATATGTAGATTAATTAATAAAAGTAAATATAAATCTTAAACAAATCACAAGAGCTAAAAACATAGTTTTACGTGTGTTTTTGGAGGTAACAATTTGAAGAGTAAAACTAAAATCCATACACCAAACATCCACCCCTTCTTTAATAAGAACCCTTTCATCACTCTTAAAGACCCCTAACCCACAAACCACCCTTCGAACAAAAGATCTTGCTTTTCACCATTAATGGCGTCGCCGGCGGCCACCGCCAAAACCACCAAACTCGAACGATACAACACCTACATCCGCAAAGTTAACACCACCAAGATTCTTACTGCCTCCTCCAAACTCCTCTTTCGTCTAACTCTTCTGGTAGCTCTCATTCTTATCTTCTTCTTCACCCTCAATTACCCCCCACTTTCCGATAACGCCGCCGCCGTCGACGGAGTATCTTCCACCCACCGTGTCCTCACCACCTCCCACCTCCTCTCTTCCGCCTTCTACGGCAGCGGTGCGGCGTGGGAAAAAGAAGTTCGCCGTTCATCCACTCCTCGCCGACAAAACGGATTCTCTATACTTGTCACCGGCGCCGGAGGCTTCGTCGGAACTCACTGCTCACTTGCTTTAAAGAAACGCGGCGATGGTGTTCTGGGTCTTGATAATTTCAATTCCTATTACGATCCGTCGTTGAAACGAGCTCGACAAAAGGTTTTGAAACAACACGAAATCTTCATCGTCGCCGGAGATTTAAACGACGGCGAGTTATTAAAAAAGCTTTTCGACATTGTTCCGTTCACCCATATCCTTCATCTAGCAGCTCAGGCCGGCGTACGTTACGCCATGCAAAATCCACAATCGTATATTAACTCAAATATCGCCGGATTCGTGAATCTTCTTGAAATCGCGAAAAACGCCGACCCACAACCGGCGATCGTCTGGGCATCGTCGAGTTCCGTTTATGGATTAAATACCGAAAACCCATTTTCGGAAGCTCATCGGACCGACCAACCGGCGAGTTTATACGCCGCCACGAAGAAAGCCGGCGAGGAGATTGCTCATACTTATAATCATATTTATGGTCTTTCCATCACCGGACTGCGTTTCTTCACCGTCTACGGCCCCTGGGGGCGGCCGGACATGGCGTATTTCTTCTTTACGAAAGATATTCTAGCCGGAAAACCGATTAATGTTTACCGGACTCACGACGGGGAGGAGGTGGCGCGTGACTTTACGTACATCGACGACGTGGTGAAAGGGTGTTTGGGTGCATTGGACACGGCGGAGAAGAGTACCGGAAAAGGTGGGAAGAAGAGGTCGCCGGCGCAGTTGAGGGTGTACAATTTGGGGAACACGTCGCCGGTGCCGGTGGGAAAATTGGTGACGATTTTAGAGGGTTTATTGAATGTAAAAGCTAAGAAGCACGTGATCAAGATGCCACGAAACGGCGACGTTCCCTTCACTCATGCTAACGTGAGCTTGGCTTATAGAGATTTCGGCTACAAGCCGACGACTGACCTGTCGACCGGCTTGAGGAAATTTGTTAAATGGTATATCAGCTATTACGGGATTACACCGAGGGTAAAAAAGGGAATTACTGATGCCGATTGATTCACGTACTAAACTTTTATACTTTTTCCATTCTCGCCACTAAACTTTCTTTTTTTTCAAACTTTCCCCAAAGTTATAAATTTTCTTTAATTTTCGACCCATTGATGTTCGGGCACCGGGGGGAAAGAGTTAAGAAGCAATCTCGAGGTCGACTCTACAGACTACGATCACAGGTCAACTCTGAAAGTAGACGAAGACGAATCTGGATATCGTTGTATTATAGCATACAGTATTTATTTATATTATATATATATACATACAAGATCATGATCATAAGAGTGGGGGAAGAAGTGTAAATCTACGGAATGGAGGGGTTGAATTTGTAATAATGTGCTTTTTAAATGTAAATTTGAAGATAAATTGATTTTGTGCCCAAAAGCAAAAGGGTGCATTTTCAAGTGGTCTATTTGAAATCTCAAGAAAATTATGATGTTATTGATTTTATATTTGCATGCTAATATAAATGTTACATATATTATATTAAGACGATCTGTCTGTAAACAGTTTAACGAGACTTGTATAGTTTATTAAGTCAGCTATACATTAATTTTTGATAGTGACTTAATAATATAGAAAGTGACTTTCCAGTCGAATTCGAGCTTGAAGAATGATTATCGAGTTCGAATCAAGCTTGATATTGATACTCAAGCTCGACTCACATCATTTACACCTTGTATGGAATATGTACTATAAATTGATCTACGGTTTTGTGGCATAATTTTATATAATATGATTAGCTTAACATAAAATTAAATAAATATTGTTAATTTTTTATAATTAAAATAATCTTTCTTTTTCATGTAGACTTATCTTGTTTTATAATAATATATTAATATATTAAAATAAAGATTTATCGCAATATTTTAATATACACTCTTATGTCCTAAGGTAACGGGAAAAAGCCCAAATAAAAGAGACGATTATAATAGTATAATCTCTCTTGCAACAGTAATGAAATCAAAGAACCAAATATATCTGATTTGATATTATAGCTTTTTGTAAAACCTTTCCGCTTGTAGATAAAAAACCCAACAGTTTTTTTTAAAAGAACTAAAATTAATATAATTAAGCAGTATAAAAAGTGTAGGCATAAACGTACGATAAATCCAAAAAATCGGTAGGAAAAAAAAAACTCTTTGTCATCTTACCTTGAAGTTCATGTTAGCCACAAGTTCCTGCATCTAATATGTTATCGTAGTTATGTGTGTTCAAAACTCTATTTTTCAAGATTTAGGATTTGTTTGTTAGTAGCTTAATGAGATTCACAGCTTATTCGGTCAGCTATATATGACTTTCTGGTAGTAACTTATTCATTAAGCTTCTAAAATGAACTTTATGTAGAAATCCAAGTTTTTTCCAACATGTCCTTCTCAATTAGAAACATACTCATTCAACCTATGGAAAACCCTCCAAAATAAAAAACTTCCTCATCTATAAAGACATATTTACCCATACAGGATTTATTAAAAAACCAAACAAACAACCCCTTAAAAAAAACACACACACACACACATATATACACACACACACATATATATATATATATATATATTCTTTAATTAATGAAAACAAAGTTTTGTATCTATCTATTCTAAAGATATGTAGTTTAATGCTAATGTCTTTAAATATATTATTTGAAAAATGCTTTTTCAAAAATTAAAATATGTCATTTTCATGCAAACATTTACTTGAATATCTTTTTTATTTAATTTTTTAATAAATTAATCATTATACAAATTAAAAAAAGAAAAAGCATGGAGGGACATCATTAATAGATGAATTCATGATTATTTCATCTTTCCCTTTTCCATCCTTCATTTAAGTTTTAGATGATGCGCTTCATAATTGAAGGGTAGTTTTGTCATTTTGTATAAGTTGCCTTTTTCCACTTTTTAAAAAATTTAGAAATTTAAATAATAATTAAATAACAGTGTAATTTAAGTTATTTGTTAGACCTAAGACAAGAATCGATAGTCTTACCAAGTAAATGAGGCGATGACTCTTGTCCGGTTAATGTTTACCGGAAGAATTGTTGCATACGATGCAGTTTTGATGGACTAAGATCTTATTCGATAAGGTAAATGATAATGTTAAATTTTACCGATAAACATTTATGGGATAAAGTGTTTGGTTAAACATCCCATTAATCTGTTATGACGTAGATTGGGTAAGGTTTATCAAATTTTGTTTTGACGTAGAAATGCATTTAACGTGTCTTTTGTCCTTTCACCCCCTATTTGTGTCGGTGGAGTAGAAGAAATAGATATAATTTTACTTTTTTGCCCTTACCTTGATGCGGATATCCTTGTTATAATAGAAGCATACATGTAATAAATGATACCAAAAAGGACCAATCAGAAAGTACCATACAACCCATATATACATACATACAACCCATACATACATACATACATACATACATACATAAGGAAACTAATATTTTTGGTAACCATGAAATCTAATCTCAATCACAAATCAATGGATAAATTAGGAAACTAGTATTTTTGATAATTTGATTTAAAATTATAATTAAAGGGCATTTTAGGTTTTTTTTTATCTCTCCGACCTTCTACGAACACCATATGATATCTAAGATACACAATGTGATACCCAAAATACATACAATGTGATACTCAAAACACACCAAATGAACTTTGAGACTACTATGATACCAACTGTGGTACCACTGTGATACCATATGTGTTACACTGTGATACTAACTGTGGCGGGGATGGGGGAAGAAAGATAGGTCGTGAAGGGGTCACATGGACAAAGACGGGACTAGCTGTCGGGAATGCTTACAGCTGGGTGTTTAGTGGTCGATCATCGGAGACGACATCTTGGTCAGACAAGATGACCGGAGGAGGTCATCGAAGTAGTGGTGGGTGCCGGATAAGGCCACCAGATTTGGTCCCTATGTGTCCTTGTGTGTGTATATATACATATATCAAACTAATTAAAGTAAATTAGAATATTAAATTAATTAAAGTAAATTGAATAATCAATACATTTTACTAATTTATCTTTTGTTTTATTTTAGTAAATAACATTAATTATCTAAAAATGATTGGTTCATATTGGACCTCACAATTACCCCAAACTATCTACTTCTCATTTGATTAGGCCCCTATGTGTATGTATATATATATATATATGTGTGTGTGTGTGTGTGTTTATGTATATATGGACGAAAGATATTGTGAGAATGAAAGTTATAATAAGAAGCGTAAGAAATACACATATACATAAGCGACTCGACAAAAGGTCCATTTCCATATAATAATTGCATTGTAGCAGGTATAATTTAGTGGTAAAAGTGTGATTCGTTCTATTAACCCTCATAATAGTTAAGGGGTCGTTTGGTTGGATTTATATTCCGATCAAAAACTTTATTTTATTAAAAGGATTAAATAATTTACCTTTCAATGACACATTCAAGGAAAAATATAAATTTTCGGGATTTTTATTCAAAAGTTAATTCAAAATTAAAAACTTGGATTACGAAATTCCGAAACAAAATTCTGAACCTTTAATCACATGTACATCCATGAATTGCACTTTAAAAAAGAATTTACCAGTGTGTATATGTTATTAAAATGCTCATCATTCATTCTTGTAAAATAGACAACCTTAAAACTGAATACTGTTTTTTAATTGTCTACAAAATTATTTAGAAGTCAAATTATGCATGTTTTTGAAATCCTTTTTATTTATTTTATTATTTAATTGTATTTTTTTTATATAATAAAAATTGTGTGATCCAATGATAACAATTAAATAAATTATATTTGATTATTCTTAATAAATTAATTATTTAATTATTGAACTCAATCCTTGATAGATATCAATTAATTCAAAGATCTTCATATTATTTTTCTTAATTTTATAAACATTTTAAAATTATTTGACCAAATTTTCTCACTTATATTCCATACATAATATATAGATGCATGTTCACAAACATAAACATGTATAATGTGATAATAAAAAAATCAATATCATCCGTGAAACCAGCTTGTTTTCGTGAGATCCGTGAAACCATTTTTTTACATTTGAAACTTTACAGCAAAATACTGTGAAGATAAAAAAAAGACGAACCTTCACAGCAAAAACGTTGTGAAGGTTACCTTCACAGTGCTTTACTGTGAAGTTTCAAGTGTAAAAAAGGTGGTCTCACGGGTCTTACGAAAAAACTTGTTGGTTTCATGTGATCCTAAGTCATATATATATATATATATATATATATATATATATACATATATATATATAGGGGAGCGATCAAATGCAAACCACTCAATTTGTACAAACCGTGCAAACCACATTCAACCAAT